ACCACTCAGTTTTCATACTTTTTTCCAGACTGCACTCATAGAGGAAGCAGAGGTGATGGTGGAGACATAATCTCACCAGCAAGTGCGTTTAGCGTCACGGATGACACGGCGAGCGATCGCACGCTTCTGCTTAAAATCAAGAAGTCTCTCTGTGGTTCTATTGTACCGGTACCTGCACCATGCAGCGCGTTTCAAACGTACTGCACGAGCACAAGCAGGAGACCACCAAGGCACGCATTTCTGAGAATGCCTGCCCGAAGTTTGGGGTATAGAATGAGAAGCTGCGGTTAAAACGGAGGATGAGAAGAGGTGTAAAAGCTCATCGATGGAGGACGAAGAAGGAACCTCTCTAAAAACAGTTAGGTGTGAGTAAAGGTTCCAATTTGCCTGATCAAATTGCCAGCGTGGGATGCGAAGAGGTGGTGAATATGAAGGGGAAGTAAGAATGATTGGAAAATGATCGCTGTCATGTAAGTCCGGGAGAACAGACCAAGTGTAGTCTAATGCGGAGGAGGAAGAGCAGACTGAGAGATCGATGCAAGAGAGAGTGTGAGTCCGAGGATCAAAATGGGTGTGAGTACCTGTATTTAAAACATGGAGGGGGTGGGTGGCAAGAAAAGCCTCTAACTGAATGCCACGGGAATCACAGTGAGACCCATCCCCCCAGAGGAAATGGTGGGCATTAAAATCACCAAGTAACAGAATCGGTGGCGGTAATGACGAAACAAGAAAGGCAATATCCGGAATAGATAATGCCCGAGAAGGAGAGAGATATAAAGAACAGAGCGTATACCACCTATGCAAGTGGATACGGGCTGCTGTGTAATGCAGCGAAGTACGAACAAATAGCTGATGGTACGGAATATCAGTGCGTATAAGAAGGGCACTTTCATTAAAGGTCCCATCAGGAAAAGGATCTGAAGAATACAATAAATTATAGCCTGAGATGGGAGAGATAACAGCAGAGTGTAATTTTGGTTCCTGTAAGCAAACACCAACAGGGGAAAACTGGGAGAGTAACATCTGAAGCTCACCCCGATTACCCCTGAGGCCGCTTATATTCCACTGTAAATAGGCCATGATTGGCAATGATAAAGATACCTGAAATCTGCAGGTAAGGGTTCCTACGGACTAGAGGGGTTAGAAAAGTCCACATGTGGAGGCAGTGGAAAACGTTCAAGCAGTGAAGGAACGGTGCGCTGTGAAGAAAGGAGTTGCGCAGATGGAGCAGAGGAGAGAGAAGGAGCGGAGGGTGGATCAGTGTCCATTGATGGTTTGGTCTCTGCAATATATTCAGAGATTGCTTCAAGTGTTTCGGAATTCAGAGACGTCGTATGGGAGACAATATTGGAAATGGTAGGGGGAGGATGAGTAAAGATTGGAACTGTATTGTACTCAACCAAGGTAGGGGGGGGGCAAAAGGGTGGAGGGAACTGGAGAAGCATGGAAGGGGACAGAAGAGGCAGAAACCTGGGAGGTGGCAGAAGAGGAAGAAACTTGGGAGGGAACAGGGGAGGAAGGTACAGTACGAGGAGGAGGGTGAACCTCTACACTTGTAACAGAGCCAGTGAGAGGGGGAGAACCAGGTACAGAGACAGGGAAGGTAAAATGAGGAGGTGGAAGATGGGTAGGAGGTGTTAACGGACCTCTTTTTGACTTTTTGAGAAGTATAGGGACGATTGGGAGGAGGTGTCATACGAGATCTCGTCGCCATTGAGGCTTGTGAGAGAGAACACAAAGAAACGAGATCAGACTGAGGCGTTGAAGTAGGGACGTCTGAGCCGAGGACAGCAAAAGAATTAGATACAGGAGTGACTATGGAAGAGGTAACCAGAGGTGGGTGCAGACGATGGGATACCAGAATTGGGGGGATGTTTTGAAACATGGGAATAAGAAACACGAGGTAGTCTCCCTTGGAGGCGGAGATGAGAAACTGCCATGGCATAAGGGAGACCTTCTGCCTCTTTGAGGTAATGGATTTCTTGCTCGTTTAAGTAGACTTGACAACGGCGAGAGTGTGAAGGGTGAGCCTCATGACAATTAAGGCAAGAGGGAGGTCGATTGCCTTAATTGTCGACGTATTAGAATGGTCATCGGCACCACAGACTGGGCATTCGGCGATAGATCTGCAATATTTTGCTGGATGGCCAAATCGCCAGCAATTTCTACACTGTTGCGGTGTAGGGATCACCTTTCGAACTTGTAACCGATGTCCTGCTACATAAATTGAGGATGGGAGTTCACGGCTGTCAAAAGTTAAACGAGCCACATTGCTAGGGTATCGTCTCCGCCCGCAGGCAGGAAGAACATAAGTGTCTACCTTGAGGATTGGGAGATCTTGGAGTTCCAGCTGTTCAAGAATGTCAGTGCCACATGTCTGGAAATTTTGTTGAACTATGGTATGGGGCAGAATGACGGTACCGCTAAAAGAATTGAGGGAATGATGTTTTTCAATAGTGACAGGAACAGTATCGATATGGGAAAGACGAGAAAGCTCATGAGCCTGGGTAGCATTCTGTACGGTGATGATGCACGTACCGCTCTTAAGAGCATGAAAAGAAATATCTTTACCAACATGGCGTAGGAGTGCCTTGCCAATACTGTGGTCAGAAAGATAGGCAGTAGAGGAAGTCGGTCGTAAAGTGAAGAATTTAGTCCATTGTGCAGTCTGAAACTGAGCGTGGAAAGGTAGTGAAGGACGTGTCGATCTTTTCTGAGAAGAACGAGAAGGTGGAGAAGTATCATCAGCAGGTAATTGTCGTTGGCGTTTAGGCGTGGGACCAGAGTTGGTCCGACGTGGAATGGGTCGGCGATTCGAAAATTGCCGCACCATAGAGGGAGAGGCCGGAAGCATAGTCAGAGGAGAGCGAAGGTCAGAGAAATCGAAGGAGTCAGTCGAGGCCTCAGTACCTGAAGCGGGTGAGGAAACAGCACCGGCAAGAGGTACAGAGGCATGAGGAGTGTCCGAAGAGTGGTCCAAAGACGAGGCGGGGTCAGAACGGGGTGCGGTATCAAGAAGGGGCCCGGGGGTAGCAGGTTCATGGACTAGGGCTGCCATGCTTAGGTTACTTCTTTCTTTTTGTTTTTAAGAAAAAAAAGAGAAAAGAAAATAAAAATAAAAAAAAGAATAAAAAAAGGGGGGACTGGGGAGGGATAGTTCCTAGGAGGAATGAAAGGGCCAGAAATCTCCCTCCGCGCCCAAGAGGACCTCAGCACCGCAAGTAGCGCAGATGCAGCATGGAACCCGTGCCATACCCTACCCATCATGCCAGTAAACCGGCAATCCGGGATAGCAACCTCACATCTGCCGAGCTACCTCGGTGGACAAAAGAGAGGGCGGCCGGAAATCCGCCACAAAGCATACCTCCTTCGGCCACCACCCCCGGAATCCGAAAGGTGGCTTCCAGAGATACACCCGTCGCCCGAGAGACACCCAAAGCCACCCTCCGGGATACCGGAGAGGGATCGGGACATCCCTTGGCAATCCAGATTCCACAGCAAACTACGCCACCGCCAAGAACCTCAATGGAATGGGATGGACCCCGGTACCCTTTCCCCTACCTAGGAACTAGCGTGCCTGTGGGAGAAAAAAAAACAAAAAAAAAAAACCCAAAGGCCAAAAAGGAAGGGCAAAAGGGAGGGGTGGGGAGGAGGAGGAGGAGGAGGAAAGGAAAAAGGGGAGGATGGGATAGGGAACGGGGGATTGGGGGGTAATTAGGTTCGGTCTGAGGAAGGAGACCAACAGGTCTAATTCCTCAGACCAAGAGCCTCTTCACCACGCCAAGGAGCCCCCCTTGAAGAGGAGTCTGGACTGAATTGTGCAGCTAGACTGGTAATTTTTACTCTTAACTGGGATTCCCAGTAGTCCCTATCTGTATGGGCTACATTGGTTCCCTATCAAGGCAAGAATTGAATTTCAATTGTTTAACATTTAAAGCTATTAAATTTAATGAGCCTAAATATCTTGCTGATATGCTTGCACCTTTTACACCAGGTTCAGGAATGTTAGTGAATTGCCATGAAACCCCTTTCAAACTGATTGAGCCTTGTGTTGTAATCATTTGTTGTTTCTCGATTGTTAGCAGGTTGCCAGTCTCTGACAAGTCAGAAATCTATTCATGTTTTCAAGTTTCAGTTAAAGGCACATCTCTTTTTCTAGAGCTTATGATCCTGATGATCATAGTGTCACTTTTAAATATAAACTTTAGTATTTCTTAATCATTGTTGTTGCATTAATGGCTTGGTGTGCAAGTGATTGTGAATTTCTTAAAGAATGGGTTCTCAAGATTAAAATCCCAAATTATTGTTATCTGTACTGATTGGAATTTTCTTTTCACATGGTAACTTACATTAGTTGTGAAATTTAATTATAAGTGTAAGTTACCACATGAAAGGAAAAACCCTATCAGTAATAAACTTAACTGTTCTCAATAATAATAATCAGATTAAGCAAGAAACCCAAAAGGGTCATACAATGTTTTGACTATTCTCAGTATTTTTTTTTTTTTCAACAAACCGGCCATATCCCACCAAGGCAGGGTGGCCCAAAAAGATAAACGAAAGTTTCTCTCTTTAAATTTAGTAATTTATACAGAAGGGGTTACTAGGCCCTTGCTTCCAGCATTTTAGTCGCCTTACAACACACACAGCTTACGGAGGAAGAATTCTGTTCCACTTCCCCATGGAGATAAGAGGAAATAAACAAGAACAAGAACTAGGAAGAAAACCCAGAGGGGTGTGTGTATATATATGCTTGTACATGTATGTGTATTGTGACGTAAGTGTATGTAGAAATAGCAAGACGTACCTGAAATCTTGTATGTTTACGAGACAGAAAGAAAGGACACCAGCAATCCTACCATCATGTAAAACAATTATAGGCTTTAGTTTTACACTCGCTTGGCAGGACAGTAGTACCTCCCATTTTAAGTATATAATATATATTTTATATAAAACTTTGATATTCCTTAACCATTTTTTTTTTTTTTTTTTTACAATAGGTACTCATGAAGAGCGGGGCCTGCTGAAGTGGAATGCTCATCTGCAAGACTCTGCTAAAGATGAGGAAGGGTCCCATATTCAACAGTCTAGGTGTTATGATATCCCTGTGGGCATGGATGCTCTCAGAAAGTGAGTCATATTTGGGAGAACCTTAGTGATAATCAATTTAAGCATTAAATTCACATGGGTAATACATTATTATTATTATAATAAAAAAGAAGCGCTAAGCCACAAGGACTAAACAGCGCTGCAGGGCAGGAAGGAAGCGAGGGCATCAGGTGGCAAAAGGGAGATGGATGAGTAATAGGTTACGGATAACAGCGGGGTAGTGGATGGTGAAAGGGTAAAGGGCAGCAAGAGACTGAACTAGAAAGGGCTGAGGGGAGTGCGAAAAGTATCATCAGAGTTTGTGGAGTAAATCAGTCGTTGTCAAGCATGGGTAATACAGCACTGTGTAAGGGTTAGTAAGAGTGTAAAATTGAAATCATAATTCATGCAGTAGATTAGTCTCCATTTAAAAATTAAAAGTCAGGGCTCATGGCCTGGTGGTTAAAGCTCTCGCTTTACATGGCGAGTGTCCGGGTTAGATTCCAGGCAAGGGTAGAAACATTGGGCGTGTTTCTTTGTACTGGTTGTCTATGTTCCCCATCAGTGAAATGGGTACCTTGTAGTTAGTCGACTGGTGGGGATCGCATTCTGGGACAAAACTGACCTAATTTCCCCAAAATGCTCTGCATAACAAGTGGCTTTCTGTATAGTATTATATCATTGATGTCAGCTAGGCCTGTATACCTTGTACATGTACTTGTAGAAAATTATGTTTCAGAGGTGGGATCTTTAGGGAGGAGGTCAGCTTGCCAAAGATTACAGCACACAAGTTCTTTTGTAATACAGTACAGTAAAATGCACTAATTTGTTGGTGAGAAATATCTGACATTCACAGTTTTAGGCTTTACATAAAAGCAAAGATTTCTACTGAATTGTATTTGATCACATCATATCCTAGGAAAAATATGCAGGGATGTTCATATTATAACTGCAAATTTCCCATTTTCTGAGCAGCTAGGGCTGATATTTCTACAAAGTCTAAGCATACTGTCCACCACTCATCCTTTATAAGGTGCTCTCCCTTCAAGGAAAGTGTCCCTTGTTGTAGTGAAAGGCTCTTCATCTGAGGAATTGGACTTTCTCTCTCTCCTCAGATTGAATCTAAATACTCCCTCCATATAGCCACATTATTTGGGAATATTTCCCATACAAGATTAGCTTTTCACATTCCTGGAAAAACTGTAGCCAAATATTAAGAGTTGGTTACTGCCTTCTACTGTCTGTCTGTGTTGACCAGTTCCATTGCTTTTATTAGTAAAGCCATGGTGAACATTGGTTTTTGAACTTATTCCTGAGGTATCTTGGCAATTTTTTGCCACTTTCATCGCTCTTGCTACAACCTATTTGTCTCCTACAGACATCCATACCTCTATCTTCTATCAGTTTAAAGTCCTAGACAACACAGCAATGACCCCCTTGACAGATGGCTAATACATACTGCCACCCCTGCCCCAGAGAGATGTATACTCCATCTCGTGTATACATATTATATTTGCCAAAGAGATTTTCCCAGTGTCAATGAATGGGATTGAAAGTGCCATACAGTATCTGTCTACCAAAGCATTCACAGTTTTTTTTTTTTTTTTTTTTTTTTTTTTACAGCAACCTCTAAACTGTTGTGTGTGAAAATCCCTGATCACCATTATTATTATTATAAAAAGTGCTAAACCTACAAGGGTCATACAGTGTCGTAAATCAGCAGTCAGATACTTGAACCACCCCCTTCTGGCACCAACAATCATTGCACAGTCAATCACTTAGATCATATTTCTTCCCCGTTTTGATGTACAGTCTAAACAACTTAACCTCTTAACCAAGTCTGCATGCTTTCAGGCACTGGAGTGCTGCCATGTGACTGGCTGATTAGATATTTGTATTAATGAGGTGTACAGGTGTACATTCATGAAATGAATGGTGGGAAATTGGGTGCAAGTGCCAGTAAATATTGAGAAATAGAAATAAAGATTATTGCAGGCTTAAAAATTATATGCTATTTCTCAAGATTAAACCGAGTACTTATTTGTGGTTTCAAGCACTTTCTTGTTCTCAGTACTTCTACCAATGTATTATACAAATTTGTCATTTTCTATTACATTTTACTTTTTTTTCACATTACTCTTTCATGTTTAGTGTCTTTAGCTGCATTAGTTAATCATGTTACATTGCACTATCTCATCTTTTCCAATAATTTATTTCTTAAGTTTTGTTATACATCAACTCTATTTAGCATCCCTTTTTAATATCTAACTCATTCTGATTAATTTTTCAGATGGTCATGGTCTAAGCAGATTCCCATTTGTCCTACCTTCACCGGCTTTGGAAGATAGGATAACATACTATACCAAAGAATCTGATGTAATAAAACACCAGAAAACTCATGTGATATATCTTGCATCGGTATGTCCCATAACTCGGTAGCGCACTCAGCTCGCACATTGAGGTCCGTGGTTCGATCCCCGGTATGGATGGAAACATTGGCAGTGTGTTTTCTTAAGACGCCTACTGTCCCTGTTCACTTAGTAAATAGATACCTGGGTGTTAGCTGACTAGTGTGGGTTGCATCCTGATTTGCCTGAAATACTTTGCATAACAAGGGGATTTCTATCTAGTATGTCACTGATGTAAGTTAGGGCTGTATAAGTTGTATTATGTACTTGTAGAAAGAAAGATTATTTATTTTCACTGAATGATGATATTCAATGATGTACTGTACTCTGATAACCTGTTTATTAAAATCATAACGAAGTGCTAAACTCAAATGTCATGGAGCGCTGCATAACCTGCTTGAGAATTGCATTAGTGACATACATACAATAATGCATAAACAATTGATGATATTTATTTATGTTCTTTTATTCAAAAGGGTTAATGGAGAAAGCAGCCTAAGAAAGATTGTAAGAAATGCCTGCGACATCAATAAAAAAAATTACAGCACTATACAGTATATGCAGTATTTTCTGAGTGGACAAATGTGGATAAGGCAACAAGCAATCCTAATGAGGAAGCTACTAAAGTGAGGTTCCACAGGGAGTAGAACTAATTCTAGTAATATTTAACCTGATGCAGAGTATCTTTTAACAAAATTGCAGGGCATTCAGTAGCATGCTGTGTGTGAAACTCATCCTCCAGAAAAATGACCCCTCAATATTCTTTGATGCTGAAGGGCTTGATTCAAGGAATTGTACTTGGTGTCCCCTTCCTTGAGTTTATAATAAAAATACGGAAAAATGGACACACACATGACCTCGTGATGTTGCCCAACTCCTCATCTCTCACCTGCTGTGACTAACAGTTTAGTAAAGGCTTGCCTTGTCTTTATTTTACCTCATTTGTGGGCAGTTCGCCTACAGTACTAATAATCACTATCTTTAAAATTGCCTGAGATATATGTTAAATAATATGAACTTTGCAAAAGTTACTTATAACATGCACTGTAGTCTATTTTTTTAATAAATTTGATACATGTCATGCATTTGGATAATTCAGTCCTGTTTTTCCTCATTCTACACCTTTGGAAAATTAACTTCAATACATTGGTCCCTGGAGATATGATGAGCTGGAGTTGCAATAATTTTGAGTTACGCTTTACGCTCATAGAGGAATTTTGTTTTCAGTTGCAATTAAAAACTGGAGATACAAAGTGCATATGATGGTATGACATGTGGATCACATACCGGGAAACGAGAGTAACCGAGGCTACCAGGCCTGGTGGCTAAAGCTCCCGCTTCACACACGGCCCAGGTTCGATTCCCAGCGGGTGGAAACATTTTGATTCATTTCCTTACACCTGTTGTCCTGTTCACCTAGCAGCAAATAAGTACCTGGGTGTTAGTCGACTGGTGTGGATCACATCCTGGGGGACAAGATATGGACCCCAATGGAAATAAGACATAGTCCTCAATGATGCACTGACTTTCTTGGGTTATCCTGGGTGGCTAACCCTCTGGGTTAAAAACCCCAACGAAATCTCATCTTTTAACGAGGGACTTTCTATATACAGTAGTATGTCACTCGCATCTCCCTAGTTGGAGTTCATAGGCTTGAACCTGAAGCATTAACACGTACACATTATTACTACTACTACTGTATTATTATGGTCAGCACATGTGGGTGGCCCTCAGCCAGTCAGCAATGTGGTAGCTTGCCTCTTGGACAGCACTAGAGCCAATAGAAGCATCAGTTCTTCAGTTGGTAGGCCTTAGCCATCCAGAGATCTAGTAGCTTGCTTTCACTGTCAAAGCCAATAAGAGTGAGAGCCTGTGAGGGTGGCTTAGCAGCCAATCAGCAACAGGGTTGAATAATTTAATGGTAGCATCTTAGCCAATAGCAGAAAATGTACTGTACTACAGTTTGTTTACTCTTCAGTTTGAAGCTATTACAGGCATTGTCGTATTAATTCTGGATTATTTACCTTTCAAAACTGCATGTGTGTTATAATTACACCATTATTTGCATTAAGTCATCATGGCCCTTAAAGTGTGTAATAAACAGGCTATTTCTCTGAAGATCAAGCAAGAAAATGGTGCGTATGTCTTTCCGAAAAACATCTCTATTTTCAAGCAAATAGAAATAAAGAATATTAGCATGGTTGATAAATCTTAAGCTAGTGAAAAAAGGCAAAAATTATCACAGAGATGGAAAGGCTAGATAAGAAAGAAGCAGATGAAGGAAGATAGCACCTGCAAGTTATATCTGACAGTGTACAAGGTACAGTAAAATCTGCACATGGAACAAATTACCATAAAACCACATATTTTTGGGTTTGAGTTATGATAGTCTGGAGGTATGTGCTGAAATAGATTAATATTGTAACTCAAAGAACCACTATGCTCATAATTTACAATAAACTATGATGCACAAAATTAATTCTAATGTCTTTCATATAATTTCAAGAGAATTTATCAATTACAGTATGGAAACCAAACCTTCATATATAATCTAACTGAAATCTCAAAAGGAAAAGCAAAATCTTAGAATAACATTAGTACAGTGGTACCCCGAGTTTTATACAGCTCCCAACTCGAAGAATTATGTAAGTGTATTATTTTAAGTGCCTTTTTAAGTGTATTTTTGGGGGTCTGAAACGGACTAATCTAATTTACATTATTCCTTAAGGGAACAAATTCGTTCAGTAATGGCACTCAAACAGCCTTCTGGAACAAATTATGGCCAAAACTCGGGGTATCGCTGTATAATAAATTTTGATTCAATGGAAAAATAGACAAGGACACGGTGTTCAATAATGCTAACTGGTAATTCTGGCTGTCTCCCACCAAGGTACAGTGACCCGACCAAGAAAAAACTTTCATCATCCTGCTGACAACACAGTTTAGATGACCCTCTAAACTGTAACATCCCCACCTCTTCTTTAGAGTGCAGGCACTGTGATACCCCCACTTCTGGGACTCATGTCCGGCTAACTGGTTTCCCCAAATTCCTTCGTAAATGTTACTAGTCTTGCACTCCATCAGAATGTCAAATCAAACTACATATTTGCCGCCTCTCAGACCCATCTAGCAGGCTCACACAAGCCTGTTGGATGCCCAAACTCCTTGCACTCAAAAGCTCCTTAACCCTTTCAGGGTCCGTCCCGTAGATCTACGGCTTTACGTTCAGGGTCCAAACCGTAGATCTACGCCATGAGCTCAGCTCACTCTGATAAACTGTGAGTGGTACATTTGGGCCTAGATATGAGAGAATACATCTATGTGGTATGTGTGCACCACATAAAACAGATCCTGCAGCACACTGTGTATAATGAGAGAAAAAACTTAAATCATGATTTTTCGATTATTATTTTATTATTATAATTTTAAGAGTAAAAGGAAAAAACGGTAAAAATACCCCCGAATTTCGGGAAAAGGACTTAAAATTCCGGGAAAAAAAACCTTTACCCCATATTTTTTGGTTAAATTTTCTGGGGGTTTTTGATATAAGAATTTTAAACCAAAACAATTTGCCCCTTTAACCCCAATCTAGATTCACAAAAATGTTAATGCCCAAAACCCCAAAGGGAAAAAACTTCCAAACCTTTCCTTAACCCTTTAAAAAGGGGCCCTTTATAACCCTTTATTCAGGGCCCAAAAATTTTAATTCCCCAACCCTTCCCAAACCTTGAAAAATTGTAAAAGTGTTTTTAAGGGTTTTTTTGGGGGCCAAAGGAAAATCAATTTTTACATTTTAAGGGTTTTGTTTTTGGCACCCAAAAACAGTTCCCTGAAAAAAGGAAAAACGGGGAGTTAAAAATTTTGTTTAAAAAAAAATTTTAAAAAAGGATTAATTTTTCAATTAAAATTTTTTAATTTTTAAATAACAAAAAAAAACCTTTAAAGTTTACAAAACTTTATACCCTCAACGTAAAAACCTCTTCAGGGGAAAAAGGGAAATGGTTAAAACCATTCAAAAACCAGGGCAAGGAATTTAAAAAGGGGGTTAAAGGCACCCAAGAATTGAAACCAAAAAGGGTTTTAGGGGGGGGGGGAAAAGTACATAAAAAGTTTTTTGGAGAAACCCCTTTTGTTCAAAAGTTTTATTTGGGGGGAGATTCTTAAAAAAGGAGGGAAACCAATCACCCCAAGACCGGGAAGTAAAGGAGTTAAATTTTGGGCCGTTTGGAGGAAAATTTCTTGGGGTTGTTGAAAAAAAGTCTAACCAAAGGGTGAAATTTTAAGGAAAAAAAAAAATTTTTGAAAAATACAAAAAAAAAAAAAAAGGATATAACGCCTGCAAAGGAAGGAACGGGGGTCTAAAAGGGAGATAATAAAGAAACATTGGTGGGGCCATGGGGAAAGGGGGGAGAAGAGGCTCCCAAAACCCGGAGGGATGCAAAAGATCATAAAGTTTTTAATAAAATAAGTTTGTAAAAATAAAGGGGGTTGGGAAAAGGGGGTTCCCCCAAAGGGGGGAAGGTGGGGTAGCATTGGGGGAAAATTTCTATGGAAAGGGAAAACACCTCAAAATTGGGAAATTTTTAGGAATTACATTTGCCCGAGAGTGCTGCCTTTCCTTTGGCCCGAGTGACATTGGGCCCAACAAAAAAGAAAAGATTTTTGGCTAAATCGGCTATCCAAGGGAACGGAGAACCCCGGGGGTTTTTTAAAAGAAAAATTTTTTGGGAAAGGGGCCCTTTTGGCCAAAGGGTCGAATTACTTTCAAAAATAAGCAGAAAGGCCCCTCATGGGAAAAATTGGTGGTCAAAATTGCTCCCGGCCAACAGTTTGGCCTTTACCCCTGAAGTGAGCCCCCGGGGAAACCCCAAACCAAAACAAACTTTTTTTTTTAAATCCGAGCCTTCGGGAAAAAATTAGAGCCCTTTTTTGTTACCCCCAAGGGGTTTGGGATAAAAATGAAAAAGGGAAAGGGAAAACAAGAAAAAGTGGGGGGAAAACCAAACCATTGGGCATTTTAAAAAAGTTTTGGGGCAAGGGGATAGTAAAGCCCAGACCCCGGAAACAGCGGGAAAACGCCCGGGGGGGGAAAATTAGAGCTTCTTGAAAAAAAAGGGTGGTAAATGAAGGGAAAGGACAAAAAAGGAAAGTAGGGGGACCCGAAAGGGGGGAAAAGGGGAACCCCCCAAACAGGTTGGGGGGGGGGGAAAAAAGGGAATTTTCTACAAAAAATATGGGGGAATTTTTAAAGGGAAAAGGAGTGAATGTAGGCGAAAAAAAGGGGAAGGGAAAACACGGCGAACAGAAAAAAATTTAACATTTGCCTTTCTTAAAGGTAATGGGGAAGGGGGCGAAACCCCAAGGAAAGGGCAAACGGGTCCGGGAGGAAATTTTGTTTTGAGAGGTTAAACGGGGAAAAAGGCGGAAAGACGGCCCCAAACGAAGTTTGGTGAGGGTAAATTTTAAAGGGCAAGAGATTTGAAAAGGGGCCCCCGGAAAATTGGGCAAAGGGTTTTAAAAAGGGGTTTAGGCGTGCCAGTTGCCTTAAAGAGGAAAGTGGGGCCCCGGGTTTTTAAAAAGGTTTTAAAGAGGAAGGACCAAAAGTTGCCCTTCGGGGAAAATGGGAAGGTTTCCGGTTAAACGAGGTAAAAGAGGGGCTTTAAAAAGGGTTTGAAGGGGGGGGGTTTAGGGGTGGTGGTGGGGGGGGGGTTTTTTCCCGGGTTTTGGGGTTTTTGGGGTTATTTAAAAATTTAAACCCATGTGGGGGTGGCCCAAGTGGAAAAAAGGGGTCGACCGAAAATTGCGGGAAAAAAATTTCCCAATAAGGTGACAGTCAGCCCCTGACAAGCAATAGCGAAGTCATCAACATAGGTGATAAACCAAATATTGGGTGGAAAACAGAGGCCAAATATTTTTTAAAAGGGAAAAAAAAAAGGTGTTGTGCTTAAAAACCCCACCCCTGGGGGACCCCTTCGCTTGGCCGAAGCCCGGGGGGAAAGGGAACATTACGGGATCGAACAGGGAAAATGTCTGTAAATTTTAAAAAGTTTTTAAAGGGAAAGGGAAAGGTGTGGTTTCCCT